TTATTTAACACTTTCCTGCCCGTTCTGTGACTTTAATAGACAGACACTTACTTCTTACCTTGCATTGCAAACTATTTCAGCCATTCGATCTTTGCTGGAGACTTCGCTGCTCCTCCCACCCTCTCGGTGAAAAGCTGCGGCTGGAACAGGTGACTTATGGGCAATGTAGTTCTTTTGACTTCTGTTAAAGTGACGGCTTACTGAAAGAAAACTACAAAATAGCTGCGCCCGTGTGTTTTGTTTTTTTTTTTCATTTTCATTTTTGGTTATTGGTTGTTCCCGCTCCTGTCTGCTCCCGTTGGCTTTCAGTCTGGTCATGTCCCGGCCATGTGAGTTATAACGAGGTTGACTCCGGTCCCACCGGAATCTGGCCAGAATCACGTGACCCACGGTACTCCCGAAAAAATGTCATCCTCTACTGCATATGGCCAACGATTCTCCCAAATCACATCCAATTTGCAATCCAGTCCGCTAAGCAATAAACTCTGGGTGCTTGAGACACAGAGCAAACCTTCACATAGGCAGTAGCCTGACCAGGCCAGATTAGCTATGCTGTGTTCTTTGTAAGTTGATAAACCAGGAACCAGACGATTCCAAATGCAGGAAACCTGTTATCATAAATCCTATTATATGCATCCAAAAAAGTTCAATCTGGTCCTCTGGACATTCAAAAAAAAAAAAGCAAAAAAATATAGAAACGTTTTGTCTCTCATCCGAGAGACTTCCTCAGTCTGAGGTGCTGTATTCAGCTCAGTCTCTTAAATCGCACCTTCTCAGAGTGGATCAACCAGTTTGCTGCTGACAACCAAAACCAGCTGATCACATGCTCAAGAAGGACCATCAGCCTAACAATGGATCATTAGCACACTGATGGCTGTTTACTATTCACAGGGGGTCAGTGTTGGGATGTAACTAAGTACAAATACTTCGTTACTGTACTTAAGTACATTTTTCATGTATCTGTACTTTACTTAAGTAGAGTTAAATGTGGGTACTTTATACTTTTACTTCACTACATTTTACATCAAGTCTCTGTACTTTCTACTACACTACATTTCTATAACGCGTTGCATTACAAGTTACATTCATGTTGCAGCTTTTTGATTTGTTTGTTACTTTGAAAGGAACCAATGGTGAGAGGGAACTGGTCCATTGAATCACTGCAAAGTGGGCAGGTAACGTTAGGCCCACCTTCAAGAAGAGCTGGTCCAATGATGTATATTCTAGTATATATGTCACTGAGCTGGGTGCACCTGCAGCACCGCTAACACACCCAGAATATATTCCACCGCAAGAGAGTCAGCCAGAAGACATGCTGCACCCATGGCCTTATTGAAAGAATGCTCAGTACAACAGGTCAGATTCTCTCTCCCAAAAGAACCAGACTGGACTCAAAAATCTTTGAAAACCAACTTCTTCTGAACTTGAACTAGAAATTATTGCTGCAATATTAAAATGTGTCAGTTCATGATGTTAGGAGACAAGAGATGTCTCCAAATGTCTCGACACTCGGGTCCAAGTTTTAAAAATGGTGTCAGAAAGTTAAAATATTGTTCAATATTGACCCATTACAAGGTTGAATAGACAGGATTTTAATTGGAGTTGAAATATCTGTTGAAATGATCAGAGTCTATTCCTTTGTTAGTTGTGTCTAATGCTCCTTTTGTTCAGGCAGACAACTTTTACTTAAATGTGTTTACTGCAGTTAAAATGACACACTGGTTTTTCTTTGTGTTGAATAAAAACTTTCAAAGGTATAATCATTCCTCTTTCTTATTTTGATTAATGACATTTAACTCTGCAGGCCATCCCTGAAATTCTGACGCACAGAATCACAAGTCCAGGTGTGAACTGTGTCACAGAGTAAACACAATAAAAACATGTATTATCTGCAGCATTGTTCAGTAAAATGGAACAACACTATTAATGTATTACAGAATTTATACATATGGTACACAGACAAAGATATGTAGACCATTACATTAGGTAATACATTCAGCAAGTACTTTTACTTTTAATACTTTAAGTATTTTAAAAGCAAGTACTTATTTACTTTTACTTAAGTAAAAATGTTAATGTGGTACTTCTACTTTTACTAGAGTACATTTTTGTCTGTTTATTTGTACTTTTACTTAAGTACAGTGTTTGAGTACTTTCTCCACCACTGCAGGGGGTTGAGTGATACTAGCAATAACAGCATTGTAAGAGGGGGACAGTTGAACCCGGAGGCTCCACCCCTGTTTAATGATGGACGGTTTCTTTTCACAAAGATGGCCTCCTTTACTCCTCTCTCAAATCATCGTTCCTCTCTGTCCAGGATGTGAACATCTTCATCCCTGAAAGAGTGACCTCTGGCCTGGAGATGAGTGTAGACTGCAGAATCCTGGCCTGATGATGTTGATCTTCTGTGCTGGTCCATCCTTTTGGCCCAGTTCAAAGTTCAATCTGGTCCAGAGGACCAGATTTAACTTTTTTGGATTTTTCTACCTGGATTATTGAGCATGCATCAGGATACCTATTATATGCAGTTTTGGCGTCCTATATAGACAGCAGAACGTGTCATCCGGGTAGTTCAGCTTGCCTGAAGCTTGTCTTAAAAATTGTATCCATTGCGTTGAGAGACCAACTGACCAGAAAATTACGGTTCGGAAGATATGTAGAGAGAGGCTCAGAAGCAGTTTCACAGACATGACAGAGCAGCAAAGCAAAACGGAGGAGGGAGAGGAGTGGAAAAGTGTCCATCCTCGGCAAGAGTAAGTGGTGAAGTGTAAAGTTAATGTAAAGTTTCATTTTGAAGGAGAATTCAAGGTTTTTGCCCATTGTGTGTGTGTGTGTGTGTGTGTGTTTTGATTTGTATGTAGAAGTCTGAGAGTATGAGGCATGCTTTCAGAAAATGTGTGTAAATGTTGGGCAGCTGTGTCTGAGTGGTCAGAGCTTTTGTCCTCCATTGGGAGAGCTGGGGGTTCGATTCCACCAGCAGCCACATGTTGAAGTGTCCCTGGGCAAGACACTGAACCCCTCATTGCCTCAGATAAGTGTCCCATCAGTGTATGAATGTGATAAAGCACTGATTAATCTTTGTCTAGATAAAGTAGAGTTCTGTATGAATGGGGAAATGAGGGCACAGATTGTAGTGTAAAGTGCTTTGAGTGTCTTGATAAGATAGAAAGGCATTATATAAGTACAGTCCATTTAGTCCATTTATAATTGAGAAAAACTGTAAAACCAGAGTAATGGTAAATGTATTGTACTTATATAGCACCTTTCTATCTAATCAAGATACCCAAAGCTCTTTACAATACAATCTGTGGCCTCATTTACCCATTCATACAGCTCTATACTAGATCTATAAAAGACTAATCAGTTGCCTCTGATGTGTGTCCGATGGGACACACATCAGAGGCAATGACGGGTTCAGTGTCTTGACCAGGGACACTTTGGCATGTGACTGCTGGTGAAATCGAACCCCCAACTCTCCCATTGGAGGACAACTGCTCTAACCATTCAGCCACAGCTGCCCAATAACTAATTAACTATTAGAGTCAACCCTGTTTGTCTGTCAGCAAAATGTCTCATAAACCATTTGCAGATTTCATTGAAAGTAGTAACCGGCTGTACATCTACAACTGATGACCTTTTTCAGTCAATCCAATTCAAGATGACTTCCACAGCTAATTAGCCTGTTGACCTACTGTTTTGTGGGGTCAAAGCTGAAAGCTATCTTCAGCACATACTCCAAGCACTACACGTTGGACAACACTTTGCTTAAAATTTCAACTTTAACTATTGGTGTCAGTCCTTTTTGTCTGTTTTTAAAATATCTCATGAACCACAGAATGTGAGAGTTCCACTGCCTGCAGCTCCTCCTCCAATTGGCTGCTGATTACCACCAGCTGGCAGCCATCCATCTGACGAGCTCCTGCTACTATTTAAGGCTGCAGTCCAGTGTGACTCATCGCTGGAGCATTGTACCCTATTTGGTATTTATGCTTTTGGCCAGTTAATTTAAGATTATATGAGAAATACTTACCTTTGTTTCTGTGTCTACAGTCCTCCTGTTTTCTTGACTCCTGTTTGGATG